CTGGTGTTGTATTTTTACGGTGGGGAATATAATCCCATATAATTAGAAGTTGACCAAGTTTGAGAAACACTGCTCTAGAGCATCCACTAAACACAGCTCTCTGAGCAATGTAGAGGGAAAAGCTCCTGCAATTAAGGTGGAGCACTTCTAGGATTTCACTGCTGGTATTACCCCCACCTGACTGGTCGCATAATTGTTCCTTTAGAGGCAGGAAGCGACTAGCCAGGGGCAGGAAACCCTTCAGTTCTTCGTCTTGGAACGGCCCCACTGCGGTAAGTGGCCCCCCAACGTTTCCTCTTTCCAAAGTTGCGCTTGGGCTCAGGGAGAGCTCTCCAAGAGGGTCCCGCACAGACAAAGCGACGCGTGATTCCTGTTCTCCATTCAGGGTCCTCACACGGACAGCGGTCACAAGAAACGCTTGTCAAGCACCCCAAATACAGGCAAAGCCGGGGGTAAAGGTAAAGCCGTGGGCGTCTCAGAGGGAACCTTGGAAAACTCAGGTGGGTGGGCATCTCCGGGTGCTCTGGGGCATGCGGCTAAAGCTGCGGGAGGGTAGCTGTGATGTCTTGCCACCCTGCTGCTCAGAACCCCCATCGTGAAATAACTGCCCTGCTTAAGGGGGGGGTAGGTTCTCTTGGATCAGTCCCACCTCCCCACACATAGCCACACCCACAACATTGCTGGATAGCTTCATTTCAGTCCAGCACATTGATTCAAACCCAGACCAGGTTGCAGCTCTCTCAACTCTGGTTTCCTGAGCAATGTTGGGCACAGCTAGAGGGTGACCTTCTAGGCGCAGGATGCCGGCAGGGGTCTGCTCGATGGCTGTTGTCATCAGCCTCCCATCTTGCAGTGAGCTTCGGGCCCCATTCTGAAAGGAGGCTCCAGTGTTTGGAGTGATGCGCACCAGTGCTGTTGCATCTTCACCCTGAATCTGCCAACCAGGCAGACCTTTGAGGGAGAACCCCTCCGTCTTCTGGATGGTGGGCCTCGTGGGCGGTTTGGGGTGATCCTGTAGGTGTCCCATCTGATCGTGTCATCTGTCCCACCCAACAGAGAATCTGTACGATGAGCCATCAGCAGATCTCTCCGAGATCGATGCCCGGCTACAAGCGCTGCAGGAATACATGAATAAACTGGAGACCAGGACGTAGCCCGAGCAAGGGAGCCAGAGTCCAACCTGTGTGATCCCTTGCCTAGCACAATCAGATCCAAATACAGAAGGTGTCCTTTCCCACCACCCGCCCTGGTTTTGCGTCTTCCTTCTCCTGCTACGTCCTCAGGCGGGAGGGCAAGAGAGAGGTGGGGTGGGGGTGGCAATCATGGAAGGTTTCAGTGATGAAATCCTTCCTAAGGGTTTCTGAGAACCATTTCATTAAAGATTTCTAAGAACAGCCTCTCTAAGAATGTGGCCCACACAGCCTTGTCTTGCGTAAGTGCGGGGCGGGGAGGGATTTTAAAGGTGTCTTCCTTCTTCCAGAGCCTTTACGGTCTTGGGACGGGATGCACTGCATGAAACGTGGGGGAGATTGAGCCCTTTTGGGAAAAAAATCCTATCCAGATTCCCACCTGCTTGCAAGATTAGTCCCTCTGCCAGCTGTTTTCCAGCACAGCAATCCTAAACAATAATTTTTCTATCTGTTCCTGGAAAACACCTCCCCCGCCAGTCTGGACAGAAGGCAGATTTCCCCAAGCTGCTACTTCCCGATGGTCGACAGTCCCTATTTCATCCCCACTTTGCACGGGGTTAGTGGGAATTGTAGTTCCAGCACATCTGGAGGGAGACCAAGTGAGGGAAAGCTGGTGTAGGGCTAGGAGTTTTCATCTTCAAATGGACAGCAGGTAGAGAGTGAATAGATTCAGGCGAAGCCTTCATACCGCCTGGAGCAGATGGAAGATCGCCTGCTGTTTAAAAATTAGTGACATTTTTCTGGTGTGGCAGGCCCTTGGGAGAAGCTGAGCTGGCAGCAGGAGTCGTCTTAATGACTAAAAATAAAGGAAAATTCAGGTCTGGTTAAAGCTCCGTGTTTCCCAACTGATGTGGCCAATTTTGACCACTTTGCTCAACCCGGTTCCTTTCGACAAGCCACCGGGGCGACGACTGGGCTGTTCTTTTGCTGGCTGGAACAGAAGCATATGGGCATTTCCTGGAACGTCTTTGGCCCCGCTTCGCTGAAATGGGGAGTGTCTACTTCTTTGCATCCGTGCTGTGATATTGCTGTGATTTTGTTTTTAAATAAACTTTTTTAAGTCAATGGCTTTGGTCTGATTGGGTGATCTCTCGCCACTGCAGAGCTCCTGCGTTACCTTAACTGGAAATTTCCTAAAGCCATTTGAATCCTTCTAGAGCAGTGTTTCTCAACCTTGGCCGCTTGAAGATGGATGGACTTCAACTCCCAGAATTCCCCAGCCAGCCATGCTGGCTGGGGAATTCTGGGAGTTGAAGTCCACCCATCTTCAAGCGGCCAAGGTTGAGAAACACTGCTCTAGAGTGCCTTGTCATGTTTTTTTTCTCAAGGGTGAACAGACCTTCATTCCAGTTCCCCGATATCCACCCTCATTTCAGTTTCTCTGACTACTCCACGTTCACCCAACTTGCTTCACCAGCTCAGAGAAAGCGCTAAGATGCCTTCCCACAGCTTCGTGCTGATTGTATTTTCTGGCTTAACGCGCTGTATGAATCCAGGCTGCATGGCTAGTTTAGGGTTCAGGGTATTGCACCCACCCTGAAAACGGGTTCATTCATTAACCAGTTTAGCCATATTATAGGAATGCAGTTGCTACGTCTTTCCTGATCTGTGGATTTTCGAGAAGACGTTGCATGGCCAAATTGGCCGCAGCTGGATTTTGCTTTTATTCTTCCTTGCAATTTTGCATCCCGGCTCTCCATCGTAGGTTCCACTCGCCATTCACTTCTCCTGCCACGGAATCCTGCTTTACAAATGTATTAAATTCTGCTTTCTTGAAATCCAAGGTATACTCAAGAAATTCTGCTTTCTTGAAATCCAAG